AATGATTAAACGATAGGGACCATGGATATATACAAACTTTTGTCGTGATTTTAATTTCAACATCAAAATACAATATTGCACAATCGTGATATTTTAGGTCATTGACCTTTATTATGCATCCGGTATTGCTGTTTCAGAAGAGAAGCACGTTGATAAATTAATTATAAATTGATATTCCCGTAGTTAAAAAGAATTATTTTATAAACCTATAAAACAAAATCATAAAATCTTACATAACGATAACAATAACGGAAATTGTAAAAAGGGTATAAAGATAACAGTCGTTATTCTTTCTCTTTGTTCTTCTATTTCTTGGGTTTCCCTTCATCAAGTTCATTCAACAAGTTGCCATGGTTACTAATCACCCATGTCGTTATCAGCTTTGGTGACATAGCGCAAAGCAGGGGGTAAAACTTGACGAAAATCGGTTAATTTTTACCTATTATTTAATTACCAATGAATGTACTACTTTATTGGTATTTGGTACTGTATTCATAATCGGTCAAAATGGCCGATTTTTGTCAAATTTATTGAAATTTCAAGGTGAATATTAATAAAACAATTATTACAAAATATTTGTATTCATTTAAAAGATTGATTTGTGGTATTGGGTTCCCCACTGAGTGCAGCCGAGCGGCACTAATGAGGGTTGGACCTTCTTGGGGGTGAACAATAGACGGCTTATCAGACCCTCCCCTCCCCCGTGGTCTGGAGAAAACTTGTAAACAAACTATTGCACAACGTGACTTGACATTGGGTTGCGTCAACTATAATTTTGTCAAATGAACTGTGATGTTTCAAAATCAAAAACAATAATTTGGGACCATACTGCTTAACAATAATGGACTGCAATTATTGTTGAACATACAATCCATTTTTAACAAACTAAGATTATACGATTCAAATGCAATTATAAAAATTATCTTGGTATTTTACTTGGGGTAATGAAGTTATGTAGGCTAGTGTAATTCTCGGTTCATCAAGATTCTACTGAATTATGTTTGGCAGTGAATAAGTGTAGAATGCAATTTATAAATTCTGGGATACACACCTTTTACACAGTTATAAAGTCTAATTGCCCAACATCAAATCGTGAGCTAGAGCCCATCTTAGTGCATTAGTGATGTTTTCTAAACTTAACAAACCCGCAGAATGCCACTTAAGGCCAATAATCCGTTCCAAAAACATAAGGAAATACAATGTGAAAATAAACTTGAGATCGAACTCCTTGGCTTGTGAGAACCAGGAAACAAGATAAAACATAACCTCAAGTAAACAAGCCCAAACGTTTGACATAAGTCCTGCTGAGCTAAGGTGTTGTGTGAAGATTTCGGCTGCTAGTGTACTTAATTCAAGCAACCAACTTTTGAAAATAAGTGTTGTGAATTGTGATTTTCAAGAGAGAGAAAACTGTGGACTTGGCTAATTTGAAATTCTATAGTTCAAAATCGTCATTTGAGTTTATTTACACAGCTTTACATTGTTTTATAGGTTAAAAATACATATGCAGCTTATTATTAACCGCGCCGAACTATCCGAATCTGAAAATATCCGAATCCGAACCTCCCAATATCCGATCCAATCCGAACCGAACCTCAACTATCCGATCCGAATCCGATCCGAAATGAAATTTCACTATCCACACACCTCTACATATTATCCTTATGGAGAAATTATATTTGTTTACATTTGAACACATGAATACTTTTGAATCTGAACTATTAATTAAGGGAACAGCTTGTTATATTTTATTGCATAAAATTAAAATATTTACATTATTTTTGTGGCTAGAAAAAGCAACATAATGTACTGTACTGCATAACAGATTTGTAATAGTTAAATGAATTAAACAATTAAGAAGTATAGGTCCTACAAAGGTTGAACATTTATCTTTTAAATAAAAAAAATCTTCATGAGCGAAGCCACGACGGGTTTGCTAGTGCCACATAAATTTGCAGGTAAAATAATTTCGTTCAAAAATTAGCACTAAACAACAATGTTTAAATGTTATCTAGGTTTTCATATTAAATTATTAAAGCAAAAAATGAGTTTTCTTTAATTTAAATTATATGTTCTTAGTTAATATGACAGTATTCTATTAGAATATCAAATAGGCTAATTATCCAACCAAAAAACAGGTTTTTTTAAATTTAAATTGCAAAATCACACACTCTTTTTGGGATTCAATTTAAATAGGCTAATTTATTTTAAAACTGGTCACAACTTAAACATGGGAATATCATTTTTAGCGAATTTCCTACATAAGCTATTACCATACGTCTCAAGTTAAGACTTGGACCAAGGACTGATTTACTTTTTCACTTTGATATTGTAACGCTCGTTTCTGGCCACTTGATAGATGTTTAGACTGATCACCTAAACCATAGATTATTTGTTTTTTTGGTGCGCGCCCCGACAAACCTGTCCACTACCTAGAGCGTTCAAGTATTGCCTGCCAAGGAGTGAGTAAAAACTTCAATCCAAATCGTATTAGAATGGACTGGAGCGGTTGACCTAGTTTCAAGCCGTTAACCGGCAACAGACAAGCTGGCTCTTGAACGCTGACGTGAGGATGAGTCATCAGAAAGTTACATAATTTGGACAATGGTTAGGTCTTTTTGGTGTTGAGTTCCGAAGAAACAAGACGTGCCTACGAGATGACCCTCTTCTGCTCCGTTGGAGGATTCTAATTGGAAGTGTATTTAATACAAAGAGGTAAGGCAGACAAAATATTTCCTAAAAATTATCAATTGTAGTCGTATTAAATCGAGTCTGATGTTTCTAGTGAATTAAAGTAAAGTCTGAAATGCTTAATTGATTGACAAATTCAGCTAGGCCTAGGCTAGGCTCCAGACCATTCATGCATGGAAGCTAGGAAATCGACAAAAAAATGTTAATGTACCGTTTAGTTACTTCCAGGATGATAAAGTACTTTGTTTTCTATCAAAAATTTAATCGTAGAAAGGGTAAATTAATTATTTTGTGTGACTTTTAAAAGGTTTGATGCAACTCAAAACGTGGTCTTTATTAATGCTTAGGAATGTACTGGAAAAAACTGTTACAACAATAAACAATAGATAAATTGTTAATTGATCTAGCTCCAATTGCCTGGTAATCACAGTTAGGTCTGTCTTAAATTAATTTGTTAGATGTTATTTACCACTTAATGTGTCAGCCTCTCCATTTAACGTGTATTGTCGTTCATCTATCCTTAAAAATAATTTATGTAAATGTTGTATGTCATGTTAGCAATCTATTTTCCGAACAGATTTTATTAATGCGCTGTGTCTAAATTGGAATTTGCCAATGTAATAGTTGCAATTCACTCTTGAAACTAATTAACAGATGTGTTTTCTTTCATGAGGTTAACCTATGGTAGGCCTAGTGCTCAGTCAGTTGAAATAATTTCATTTATATCATTTGAATGTTCATTCACTCATCGTTCGTTAAAAATGTAAGTTAGGTTAAATCTTTTAGAAATCACATATTCAATTGTATTTGTATTTCAGGGTAAATATTAATACAGTGTATTCACCTGCCATGTTCTATATTTTCATGTTTATTCTGTTAGGTTAGGCCATGTGAACCAAGAGTAGGTTAGGTTAGTACTTGTTTCTGATTCTATAGCTTATTCATACCTTTTGGGGTCAGATCTCCTCATTGTTTTAATTAATATTGTTTGTAATATCTTTTGAATTAGTATACTACTGTTATTTCGCCAGTTAGCCTAATTCAAGACGAATATTTCTTTTTTACTTCTGCTTGATATGAATTTATATTTGGGTATTCAGACCGATTAGCCCCTTCCACACGGACACCACCACGTCTGGACTTCTCATCTTGGACTGGTACAACTCCACCGAGAAATCATCATTGCATTTAGACCTATTTAGTTATAAGTTGTCTCAGTACTTCATTACTCGTTTTGTATGTTTAATGTTCTGTAAATTGTCTACCACTGTTATTTTCAGGATGGTGGCCACCAAATCCAAACCAAACTAGATTTAGACTATTGATGAATTAGGTTAAGAGTGTTACGTTGCTGAATTATTATTGTTGTTCCTCATTTGAGTGTTGAGATTAACTATTACTATTGATCCATTTCATTGTCCCTACATGTGTCCAAATCACGTGGACTCACAAAAACCAATCAGATGAAAGGAGACCCGTGCTGGACGACGTTTCACCACCCGATTGGCGGAGAGATACAGGCGTGACCCTCTGGACTATCTCAAGAATAAATTTTTGGTTTCCAAGAAATCAGCTTAGCGTGTGTTGTGTATGTGTTGCATCAAAGTTTAGTTACCATGGCTTGTTGTCACTTTTGTGGAAGAAATTAGGTAGTGCAAACATCAAAGTGAAATATGTGTGTATCAATTTAAATGTATTTGTAACCATAATGTATTATCATTCTAAATCTGCTTGCTCCCTCGCTAAATAATTAAAAATGTCTTAACCATTTAATTCCTCCTCTCTAGAGAGAGATTGTTGTAATTTAAAATTTAGTTGTATTTAATTAAATATTATTTTATTCATTAAATTCCATTTGACAACATATATTATTTCATGCACTCCATTTCCCTTTTTAATTGATTATCAGACTTTCAACCCTATTATTGTTCGTTTCTATATTTGTTTTAAGGATTTTTGCTTAGTTCATTCCTCTAAAATACCCCTGTTCTCTGCTGATCATTTGCCATTTATATTTTATTTTATTCATAAATTTTGTATTTATTAATTCCCAATCTGTACTCATTGTATCTGTAATTGTGATTTGTTATATTCACTGTTAATTATGTTCATTAAATTCCTCTATAACAGAATGTCAGTGTTTTACTGTTCTGTAACTTAAACTTATGTCAAGTGAGTTGTCAGCTCAAGTTCAATTTAAAATACCTGGATACATTTACAGCTTTAATAGGATAAGAAATAACAAAATAATTTACTGTACTTGTACTTATAGCGAGTCGCTACACATTGACTACACAATGAATGCTTACCTTGGCAAGATGACATTCTTGGCTACAAATGGATAATTTTCCAAATATTTTGAGCAGTGGCTGAAGACAGGTAAAAAGTACACTATCAGTGTTGCCATAGTCCACAAACCACACTTTCACCAAGTTACTCTGAAAAATGTAAATAAGTCATAATACAGCCCATATAAAGCCAAATGTAAAAATATTGCGTAACTATTCAAAACATCCTAGTAACAGTAAAACTACAGTTTGAAAAAAATAATTGACATTTCAAAGTTCTTGTCATGGGAGAAACCGACTAGAATTGTTGCTTGGATTTTGAGATATGTCAATAATATAAAATCGAGGTGCAAATCAAACGACAAAACTCAACTTCGATTTGGACCAATAGACTACAACAACATCGTTGAGCTGGAACCTAAAGAGCTGAAAGCTGCCGAAGAAATTCTTTTGAAATTTGCACAAGATGAAACCTTTGGTGAAGAAAGGAAACTTTTGAAGAGAAAGAAGTCTATTCCGAAGTCAAGCCGCATTTATTCATTCTCTCCATATTTGGATTCTACCAACATTTTAAGAATGTCATCAAGAACCTCAAACTCACCCGAACCGACAGAAGATCAGAAAAATCTTATCATATTAGATGGCCGACACTTTACTTCGAGATTGATGGGACAAATGTATTATAATGAATGTTTCCATCAAAGTTTTGAGACAGTTGGGTGCAAGATAAGAGAAAGATTCTGGATAACAAATCCACGACCACTTCTAAAGAAAATTAAGAAAGAATGCATGAGGTGCAGATTGAATTGTGTGAAGCCTGCCCCCCCCCCCCCCCCCAATGGTGCCTTTACCAGAATTCAGAGAAACAAGAACTAGCCACCCGTTCTTCTACTCACTTCACATGTTTAGCCTATGTCCCTCGACAACGGTTAAAATGCGCGGGCTGGAGCGTCGGTGCGCGTATAGCTCCACACAAGACCTGTCCCACAACGCGTGTCTCGCCATCTGGAGGCCGTACTAGTTAGTGTACGAGATAGAGTCTTCCGTGCTACACAGTATTTGTATTGAGAGAAACTACACCTATGCAAGAGCGACTTGCTGTTTCTTTGAGATTTCTTGTTACTGGAGACAGCTATGTTAGTCTGTCATTTTCGTTCAGACAAAACTGTATCAAGATGTATCGATGAAGTTTGCACTAGGTTAATTGAAGACCATAACAATGAAATATAGGTAAATAAATATTGTTATAAAGGTTATAAGGTATAAAGGTTACTATACATCAGGTTACTTTACTTTACAGGTTATAACTGTAACTTTTATGAAAGTTAAACATTACAAACAATGAGGTCCACTTTTAAAATACCTTTCAAATGTTATTAATTAAGCATGATGATAATGTTTATTTAATTTCTTTCAACAACCGTTAACGAAACATGTACAGGGTTGCAACCATAGTGGTATGATAAAATTCATGCAGAATTCATGGTTTTCATTGTAGCTTTAAAAAATTCACGATCGATACGCTTATACAATTCCAACACAATTGAGTTTTGCTGATTTCATAAACTGACGTTAAAGAGGCAGTTTCTTTGTGTTACCGTACTTTTGAATAACCTTTCATACCTAATATACAACTTTTTTAGAGTGATTTATAAACATTCAAAACAAAGTTAAGTTGAAAACAAAACAGGTCCAGCTATTCTATATGAGATATTGGGGAAGAATTGTAAAATATATTAAGTCTAGGTCTAATTCAGTCTTTCCACCGGAATAAAACAAAAATCCCACTCACCCAGCCAAAAAAAGTCCTGTTTTATCCCCCTACTTTATCTATCTTTGTCTACCCCTAGGCCTACCAGTTGCAGTTGATGGAGCAGCCTCCTCCTCTGAACTACTCTCTGGTGGACACTGTAGGTTCAAAGTCAGGGTCTTCGTCTGTATCATCTACAGGTTCACTGTCATCATCACTAGGCCTATTATATTCATTTTCTAACTAATCTTCTGAATCATTGTCATACATAGCCTCCAAATCACTATCACGTAATCCCCCATCATCATCAACAAACTGTACACCACTACCTAAAATGTTGTTCACCAAAGTATTTTCACTAGTCGGGGACTTTTCTCTCACTCTTTTACTCATAATGACATTTTACAATGTCCCGACAGACAGCTGAGTAAACAGAGTTACCAACATAATGAAGATTAAAAATAAAGACCATTGAGTATGATTCCTCTAAATTATATACTATATAAAGACTTCATGCCAAATTACAGCATGTTTGGACGTTTAGGTGGCCTGTAAAGACAAATATAACAGACGGGTGCCTATTACGGCCGCCCGCCGCGGGCGTGGATTTTGCCGCGGGTGCCTATTACGACTGCCGGCCGCGGACGTGAATTTTGCCACGGGGCCTATTACGGCCGTCGGCCTTAAAAGGGTTAAAAATTACCTTGGTATTTTACTTGGGGTAATGAAGTTATGCAGGCTAGTGTAATTCTTGGTTCATCAAGGTTCTACTGAATTCAGTTTGGCAGTGAATAAGTGTAGAATAAAATGTATAAATTCAGGGATAGGCCTACACACCTTTTACAGAGTTATAAAGCCTAATTGCCCTAATTAACTTGCCGCAACATCAAATCAAATCGTGAGCTAGAGCCCAGCTTAGTGCATTAGTGATGTTTTCTAAACTTGACAAACCCACAGAATGTCACTTAAGGCCAATAATCCTTTCCAAAAACGTAAGGAAATACAATGTGAAAATAAACTTGAGATAGAACTCCTTGTCTTGTGAGAACCAGGAAACAACATAAAACTTAACCTCAAGTGAACAAGCCCAACGTTTGACATCAGTCCTGCTGAGCTAAAGTGTTGTGTGAAGATTTCGGCTGCTAGTGTACTTAATTCAAGCAACCAACTTTTGAAAAGAGATGTTGTGAATTGTGATTTTCAAAAAAGAAAAACTGTTCTATAATTCAAAATTGTCATTTAAGTTTATTTACACAGCTTTACAGTGTTTTATAGGTTAAAAATACATATGTAGCTTATTATTAACCGCACCGAACTATCTGAATCCGATCCTCCCAATATCCGATCCGATCCGAACCGAGCCTCAACTATCCGATCCGAATCCGATCCAAAATGAAATTTCACTATCCCCACACCTCTAATTAAGACCCTACTGGACAACTTTTGGAAAAGATGGATTCATGAGTATTTACCCTGCTTGACAAGGAGGTGCAAATGGCACAAAAGAACTATTCCACCTGAAGTTAACGACTTGGCAATAATCGTAGACAAAGACAATGCACGACAACACCTGGCCCCTTGGAAGAATATCTGCCCTGTACCCCGGTCGAGATGGACAAGTAAGAGTTGTTGACATCACATCACCAAAAGGTACTTTTTGGCGTCCGATGACAAAAATTGCCATTCTACCTGAGGAAAGATGTTAATGACTAATTTCATATATATGTTATGTTCATTGATTAATCTTTTCTGCTATAACTTGTTTGTGAAGATTAAAATATCACATGTTTTAACATTGTTAAAAATAATAGTAAATAAACAGTTATGAAATGTTGTACCTGTACTAAAAAGAAACGGACTTTTATTTGACTTTGATAATTGACTATTTAATACAAGTTCTGTTCTTAAAAGATATTAAAGCTAACACAAATCTTAAAGTTTCTCAATATTAGCTGTCCTGATTACTTCAAGTGAATCTCAAACTAACACTTTTTGGGTCTTTGGCGAATTTTGGTTGCTGTTGAAGAGCCAATAATGTAAAATTGGGAGACAACTTTATACTATACTTTGAGAACAAATTGTCTTCATATAAAAGCTCAAGAAATAGTAATGAACCACATTTTACTTACCTCTGTACACCATTCTAATACCTCCACTCTATACCATTTGTTATCGTCCGGCCACTGACACACACAAAACTGCCCCAATTTAGATCTTGCTTCTTGCCAAGAAGAAAATTCTAGCTTTTCTTGGGTGGAATAATATTTACACATATCTTCTAATAGTCTGTAAAACATTTACATTGGTAAAATATAATGTTGTACAAACACAAATGTTGAAAGAAATTTAATTTTGGATAACTCATGCATAACTGTAGGATTTTTAACATCTGAATAACGATATTAAACAGTCAATTTTGGTATTTTATAAGTTTTAAACCAGTATCAAACATAAGAAGACCCACAACTAAGCATTTTTCAAAGCTTTTTATAAATGTTTAAAGATAATGTAAAATGTTTAGAATTACTCTAAACGGGTTGTAAAACCCACAGAGAGAATTACATAACAGTTCTGGCAAGACAAGAGCTTCAGCTTCACAACTAAAACCACAAAACAAGTTTCAAACCCTCCTATCAGAAAAAGTACCCGTCATATTCTAGAAATTAACCTAATCTGAATATTTCAGAAAACCGCCTCACGTTTTCATCTTAGTATAGTTTAAGCTCAAATTTGAACCAATGTTTTAAATGTATTATTCAGAATAACCCACAATAAATCACATAGTAAATATTTATCATACTATAATATTATAATATATAATATTATAAATTTGAAAGTTTGTGTTTGTTTGTTTATTTGTTTGTTTGTGTGTTTTAAGTCCAATCCCGCTTTAACTACTGGTCGGATTGGGCTGAAATTTGGTATGATGATAGCTTACGTTCCCGATTAACATATAGACATACTCTTTATCTCAAAGATACTTTTGGGCTCCGCCCCAGTGGCTCTGGAGATTCCCATATTAACTTTATCAGTATTCATATTTAAAAGGAATTTAAGAATTTTGCCGGCTGTTTCAACCAGACAAGTTGGTTCTACGATATTTAATAGCATTAAAAAGTTATTGAGTTTTAGTTTACCTATACAGCTAATTTGAACCAAACAGCAACAAAAAGCTGTGATGCACAAATGGAACCGTCAAAGTAGGATTGTTTACATGTACGCTTATGTTTTTTATTTATAAATAATTTGTGATATTGTGCAAATATTTGGTAATTTACTTTTTTTATTGTTTGGATGCAGTGGTAGAACATTATTATGACTATGTTAGATGTGTTATACTTTAGCATACCGTACATTAAAAGAACCTAATTTTTTCAAACCGTGTCCTCTCCCATTGCAAAGGCAAAGCACGAGTATAACTGCAATAAGCATTTTATACTTATTATACGCCAACCCTGTACGAAGGACAGGTACTCTGCTAGTATACAATGTACTGTAACTAGAAATATAAATACTTACTTGTCCAGGTGCTTATTGTTTTTATTGACGAAGTGAACATAAAACTCTGACGGATTTTCGATGTGAGAAATAAGAACCTTGAATATTTCATTTTCGTTAAGAAGGGTGGCTTGCTTCCGAAGCGTCACATATTCTGTAAAGGAGATCAAGACAACTTTTCAGAATTATTTATAATTATATTTATTAACACAGAAACAACACTTATCTACAAAATAAAGTAACCAGGGTTTTGGTTGGATTCCCACTTCTTTTGTCCCTTTCAACGCTTAATAATGGGTGTGTTGCTGGCCTAGTGGTTAGCATCTCGGACTTTGGTGCAGGAGTTAAGTAATACCATAGACAAAAACAATTAAATATAGACCGTCAGCTGAGCTGCGGTTACCATCATATGTTCTGGCGCACACCGCTGGGAGCGCCATGTATTTACGGCCTACGCGCTACGTAGCTACACGACGCTGCTCCCAGCAGTGTGCGCCAGAACCTTTGGTAAACATGGTAACCACTGCACAGCTGACAGTCTATATTTATTTCTTTTTGTCTATGGTAATACCCCCGCCGCAGAAAACCTGCAGACTTAGCGAATTTTCATTTGCCTGATCGGATTTACACTAAAATGTCTCCTTAAAAATATCCCGTATTCTCTATTTAAATAGAATTAGTTTAACGAGTACTTAGGTTTGCTGCAACAGGGAGGGTAAAAAAGTGTTTTGTGTTATAAAATGTTAATACTGTAGTTTAATAATAAATTAATGTATTTTCCAAAATTTATCAAAATATGTTCATAAACAAGCAAACTCCAACAGTTGACTTATTCTCCATGAGAATAACATGGGAATTTTTAATTTACAAATTTTTGGAATTTTCTCCGTAACCATTAGGTGCATAATAACGCTTCAATATACTAAATTATTTGTTTATAATTATTTGTTTATAAGCATTATTATTATTATTTGTTGTAAGCTCTACAAAAAGGTTTGGAAAGAAATTGTGAAATTTTGTGTTTTAGGGTCAAAAATGGGAAAAACCTATTTTTACCCCATAAAACCCCCCACCTTATTCCCTATATGGGAAATATGCTAAAAGAGTTAAGTGTTTGGTTTGTGAGCAAACTGGTTAAGTTAGTAGTAAAGCGAGGGGCTTCGGTTTCCAAGGTCCCGGATTGAAATCCCACCAATCACCAATGGACTTGATGTGATAATCAATTAAAGATCAAAATGTACTTACGTAAGCCAAAATAAGTAAAATGTAGTTTTCTTCCATGCTGTACAAGTTTCAAGTTTATTACAGCTCATCTTTAGCAGCATTTAAATATTTTTTTGGAAAATCGTTAAGAAAAGCATTATGAAAAGTTGCAACAACAAAAATTTTTCTGCGAACATATGAAAGATAACTGGAATGAAAAGATGTTAAAGAAAAGAGAGGAATAATCGCACAAAATCACTTATCAGCTATTATGAGAACTAGATAACGAAGCTGGAAATAAAAACCACCAGTCAGCTGACACTGCGACCTCTCTCCTGTTCCTCAGTAGGCCTAGTGTCCGGTTTTGATAGCTCCATGTATACCGAAAATTTCTAAATACCAGCAAAACGATACACATAAAGTTTATTTCTTTTTGCACATACATGTTTATAAACATTCAACAAACATTGCTCGATGTGGTTTATTGTAATCATATGAATGCTGCTGAGGATGAGCTATAATAAGTCAAAAAATGAAAGAGCATGAAAGATAGCTACATTTAACACCTTCTGGCATATGTAAATAGAATTGAATATTAACTGCCATGGCCACTTGTACCCAATGTGGTACTTGGGTATATATGTATATATATAGCCTACAGGGTGTGGCAAAAAAACTTTCTGCAGCGCACTGTTCCGCGACAGGTCGTTTGAGGGTGGTGGGAGTAGGCTCGTTGGAAAGCATACACGATGCCATTATCTGTAGTCATAGAGGAGTGGTCCACCTGAGCAACGTGAGTTTGTTATGGAGTTGTATTAAAAAAAGTAATGAGTCAGTCATTGCAACTCAGCGGCATTTCCATGCATTCTTGAAATTAGGTCAATATGGAGAGGTTCCGTCCCGATTATGTATATGGATAATCAACAACATAAACAGAATAATACAAATTAATCAGTATGGATAAGAATTAAGATCGAACCTCAAAATTAGTGTAACCGAGCGGTCAGACATGTTTAAAGCAGATGTTGTTTTCGGGTGGCACTACGAAGAATGTTTTCCACAGCAGCACAAACTCTATTGAAAGTTAGTTGTCTGGCGTCCAATCTGCTTTAGACGGCAGGAAAGGTACTAAAAAGGGCATTTAAATTAAGATTGGAACTTTTTATCTCTTAGAAGAATAAAGTCTTTTATGGTGTAATTATTAGCCTATTTCGTATCAATGTGATGGAAATGTAAATGTTTGATTAATAAAATCGCGTCTCTTAAGAACAGTTAAGTGTACTTTACATAAACCTTAGCTGTACTTAGCTGTCAATACGGTGATAGTCACTTTCAATCGCGGCAACACTCTTAATAGCCCAGGCAAATTAGACATATGCTCCCCAAAAAATCGTCTAAAGCTGGAAAGTGTTTTAATACGTTTTGGGGGTTCCAAATAAGACTCCTGTGAGTTTGCGACGGATTCTGACGTCTGCTTAAGTTTTGGGAGTCGAAAAACTATGAAAATTTTGCACTTTTCTCAGTTTTTCGCTTATAACTCCTAAATAACGAATCCTAAGGAAAATGTTGTTCAAAGGTGTCTTTTAGTGCATTAAATTCCGCATCGATTGATGTTAAATACTTGGAAATCGGCCGAGCCGTTTAGCCGCTGTAGCTTTTCAAAGTTGGGATATTTTCATGAACATGGCCAAAGGGTTGATTATTTGACCAGTTTTTGGCTTACAACTCCTAAACGACGCATGCTATACAAAAATGCACCTGTAGTTAGTTTGGAAAACACTAAATTCTGCGTATAATGTTTTTTTTTATTAATCAATAACGGCAATTGATTGTTACTTACTTCGTATGGTCGCCATTTCATTGAAAAAAGTATTAAAGTTAAAGTTGGGAAATTTTACTAAAATTGGTAACAACATAGATCCTGTCCTTAAATGGATTATGAATTATTAGATAGTGGTTTATTCCATGATGGTCATCCAGAGGTTTATCTAATAAGGTGTGATGAGAGTAAGACACCCTATGTAATTTTAAGTCCAATATTGTTGTCTGAGGTTCCTAAAATTCTAGGATTCATATCCCAACCACCCATTATATACGATCTATTCCTGTATTCATCTTTCAGTTTTTGGCTTACATCTCCTAACGCATGCTATACAAAAATGTTCCTGTAGTAGTTTCCTGTAGAGCATAAACGTCTGCGTAGAATGTTTTCCAATTCATTAAGATCGGCTTCACCATTTAACCGCTATTGATTGTTAACACTAGATCAGATGCTTGTCAAGTTTCCGAAGTTTAAAATCTTACCATTGAAATCTGGCAAACAACCAGCCTAATTACCAAAAACATAGGGGATATGGCAGTGAATCTATCCACTAGTGTGACGTCATGGATCATGCAGCATGGCCTATGAACAAGTAAGTGCTCATGAGAGCAACATCTAAAAATAGTAAATTGTTTTGCAAGTGAAATACCTGACATTCCTTGTACTTGGCTAAAACAAAAGTTGATGGTTTGGCTTGCTGACCACCCTTTTTACAGTTTGGATGAATTTTTTGCAGAACATAATTGTTATGGTAAAATTGTTATCTAGTTCTTACTTAGTCCCTAGTCAACTGTTACCTAGTATTTCAATCACTTTGTTTAAGTACCTTACTTTTTGTTTCTATATATAGTTATGTTTTTTTCAAATGATTTTTAACTATTTATTTTCTTGTTGTCTTTGTTATATTTAGTGAAGATTCCATGTAATACTATCTAGAATCTATGGCCCTTTTTGGTACCTTTTTTTATTAACGAGGTCTATTGTAACATCTGTTATTTAATGACCAATAAAGATTTATGATTTATGATTCATCTTACTGTGGAGAGCTTTTCCGAGTAAGGGGAATCAATGATGGGGATCTAGCCCGATGGTTCGCTGGCAGGCCCATAGCAGTGAATGCTACCCATCAAATTAAGGGATATTGTGGGATCACCTCTTCAACATATTATCAGCAAGTTGACAATATAAACTCCACGGATACGGTGGGATCAAAAATAAATTCATCAAATGGTTTCAGTGTCACGACCCATTTACTGAAAATAGTTCTCTCATGTCAATCAGCTCAGCAGTTATCCCATATGATAGCATCAACGCGATATATGTATAAAGCATAATTAAAAGGCACAGCTTGCAAGAAAATCGTAAATAGGCAAGCCTGTAATGATCATAAACTGTGCAGAATAAAAGGAAGTGGTGACCTTAATTGCGAGCTGTGATGGCAACAGCAAATATTAAAGAAGAATTTACCCCCCTCAGTCAGCACGTGATATTCCACATTAAATCCAAGCCGCATTTTTGAATCATACTTTGGATTAAAAATAGGTCCGCACCCACTAGCGCAGTTTGATGAAGAAAGCGTGATGTAGAAAAGTCGAAAATCTATTCATGTAGCCTAAAACTACTCATGCTGTTTACTCCAATCAATGTAGATCTCACTGTGTTCTGACGGGTTACAACGCTTGGCGAAGTTGCAGAAGCAGGTTGGCCCTATACATGGTTGGGAGCAGAAAATATCCAAATCAAGTGAGGGTTGGTCTCTTTTAGAAGACACTTTCAACTAATTTTGACATTGATTCTAACAAAAGGGGCTGCTCATCCACCAATCCTTTAGAGCTCATTTAAAAGTGTACTTAATTCAGAGAGATAGGTATGGAAAATTAACGCCAATGGGTTAACTCCCATAACTACGGTTAATCCACCGGTTCGACAAGAACTTCTCAACTCCGTCTACCTATCTCGACTATCGTGTACATGTTAAAAAAGGTTTACATTATCTTGCTCCTTTTGAAATGCAGGGATATAATGCACTACTGTCTGAAAGACTTGCAAGGGGGCACGATTATCTCAATTCTATATCTGACGAAAAAGATAGATGGTACCGAATGTCACCATTTGTGGCAAGACCAATAAGAGCAAAGAATGAATTCTTAAGATTCCAATGATGAGAAGTAGAAAAGTTATATGGTAAAATCTACAAAAACTCCCAATCGTTTTTTTTTTTTTTAATAGGCTAAATACATAGTAAAACTATGTACATTTGTCCCATTATCATATTTCGCTTATTAAGCTAAAAATAACATTTTTGCTATATTTAATAAAATCTTTCTTGTTGTAATATCTTATTATATATTAGAATCGCTTAACACCATTTTGGAGTGTCCATAGATGGGATCGTATAAATGGGAGCTTAGGACGAATCATAGAATTTTTGTAACCCCAGATAACAATATTAGATTTAAAATAACATAGGGGGTCTTGCTACCCTTCCCTTCACACATTCTTGGATAAACCTCTGGATGATAACCATGATAAACCACTATCTAGTAATTCATAATCATAATTCTACGCCGAATTTTGTGTTTTTCCAAACTAACTACAGGTGCATTTTTGTATAGCATGCGTCGTTTAGGAGTTTTAAGCCGAAAACTGGTCAAATAATCAACCTTTTGGCCATGTTGATGAAAACTTTGAAAAGCTACAGCGGCTAAACGGCTCGGCCGATTTCCACGTATATAACATCAATCGACGCGGAATTTAATGCACTAAAAGACACCTTTGAACAACATTTTCCTTAGGATTCGTTATTTAGGAGTTATAAGCGAAAAACTGAAAAAAGTGCAAAATTTTCATAGTTTTTCGACTCCCAAAACTCAAGCAGACGTCAGAATCCGTCGCAAACTCACAGGAGTCTTATTTGGGACCCCCAAAAGGTATTAAAACACTTTCCAGCTTTAGACGATTTTTTGGGGAGCACACCCTAAATTTGATCTAATTTGCCTGGACTATAAGAATAACGTGCGGTCCCAGCAAAACCGATATCATCACTCATAGCTGCAGCAACACTTGCAAGCATATTTTGTGGCCTCGGTGATACCATGATCGTCTCCCATGATCGAGATTGCACTGTGAACATCTCTTGTAGTGTCAGTAAAACTATGATGATCTAAAATGATCGCAATTTACTCAAGATGTTGAAAAAGAACCATGGATGCCGTCAATGAATTGAGGGTTTCTGGCTATTGGTGATCATTCTGTAATCCCTGTTCTGTACTAAATTTAAGTACAATACTCGGTACACAGGTTGGCTGGACACCCTGTTTGAATATGTGTTAGTACACTTCTCTCACTTGCCAAGTTGTTATCAATTAGAGAAAAATTAGCTGTTTTAAGCTTATCTCTAGTGATCAAGCTATCTAAATACAGAAGTTAGACGAGTCTTTAAAATAAATCCTAAAGATCAGATTAAATTGAAAATCCAATTAAGCAAATGGGAATTCCCTTAGTCTGCAGGTTTGCTGTGGCGGCGGTATTTAATATGTCTATTGGAAATAAAAATGTCTGTGTCTATGTCTGTTCCAGGTAATATATCTAAACCTGTATGGCTTGAATATGAAAAGAATTTGTGAAAGAGACTTTTGTACAGTAGGCCTAATGTCTCTACTGAAGTACTGTGTGAATCTGTTGGAAATCTTACATAGTTTTTAAATCGTAATTTATGGATATTACCTGTAGGTAATTGGACAGAATTTTGGTTGTTGGGCTGGAAAGAGCTGTTCCTTGGCACAAACACTGGAGCCATGATGTTCACTTCTGTCACAGGCCAGCTGGGTGGATTCACTGTAGGGGACGACCAAGGCAGTAGAGGAGGGACAAACGTTGCTATTGTATGATTGTGCTGTGAAACATTGTCTGTGTTTTGATATTTTTTTCTGAACCTAGGTATGTCCGGTGTTTTTGATTTAGGGCAAAAAACTTCAGAACTGCAATTCAATCTAGCATCAGAAACTGATTCTGTTCTGTTAAAACTATTATTTGAATTTGATTCTTCGCTTGAAATACTTGAGGGGGTTGACTTAACGACATTTACAGAATCTTTAATTTGGGAATCATTTGTAATTTGTGAATGTTTAGGCTCTTCATTTTCTTTTTTAACGTTATCCAGATTTGTTACCATTTTATCTGAAAACTTGGTATTTGGAAAATTTAAGTTGTTTATTTCCTTATTTTCTATTTCCAGTTGAAGTGGGATCTGATTGTCTTTGGCACTGACTGGCAGAGGTAGTGGTAGTTCTTGATTTGTTTCCTTATTATCTATCCTTTTGGTGTAAGGGGAAAGAGATTCATCACTCAAAAAATCACAGAGGGCTTCGTTATCATAAGCTTCCTTGTCATAGTCCAATTTTTTCAACTCTGGCATTAATCTGTCTGATATCCATTCTGTTAAATTAGCTGTGTCTTCTTCCTCGTTTTTAAGTTCAGTATCCACGACAAAGGTAGGGAAACTGCCAGAAACCCGTTTTAATATCTTTACTTCTAGAGTTGCCTCTCTCAGTGTGTTGCAAAATATATCTCGTAGATCTGAGTTCTTCCATAGCTCAATCGCATCAGTGTCCTGGAAAAAATCACATACCGGTATTTAAAAAACTCTAAACTAAAATACATGGGTAACTAAACTAGCAGCCATGCCAGTGCTTCCCAACAGAAAGAGAACAATAAAGAGAATAATATGTTCCATAGATCTATTGTATGAAAAGTTATTAACAATTTGTCGGTATCTAGGATTTTAATGCGTTCCGTGACACGCAGGTTTTTGTATGAGCACTCAAACAATGTTTTATATATATATATAAAAACAATTAAAACCATGTATCATCAATAAAATTATACATCATATGAATAAAAACCCTTACTTTACATATTTATTTAAAAAAGTATAGCAAAAAAAACAACACATCCGTGATTCACGGAGCCCCGCTCCCTGCTACGCAACTCTTCAGCCTTCAACTGATTGATAGCCCCAAAGCAGAACTACAGGCAACAGTGCAACATTATCACAGAAAGATGGTAAGGGCTGCAGAAAGCCCAGCCGGCCCAAAAAAAGAAAAAAATTTTTTATTTTTAATGGAAAGTTACTTATTTTCAAAGGCAAATTTTGGGCCACATGCTTCTTTCTTACACTTAACCCAAATAAGTTTCTGCAGAAAATGCTACATAACAAGTTAACACGTTCCCTACAGACCGTCACACTCCTCTGTAACTGAGGAATGAGTATAGTCGGTAGCTAATGTGTTAACAAGTTCCCTACCGACCGTCACACTCCTCTGTAACTGAGGGATGAGTATAGTTGGTAGCTAATGTGTTAATAAAGTTGTTTTTTTGCAAAAAATATTTCTGTAGAAAGTCTACAACTTCATTTTCTGCAGAAAAATTCTCCGTACTGCAAACAGTAACACTACAAAACGTCAAGCATTACGTAAACTAGGAACGTGTAAGCCTGCAGAAAATTTTTGGATTTTCCAAGTCCTTTGCAGAAAGTTTAAAAACGTTCTGCTTTGGGGATTGATGGGGGTTTTGCGGAGGAGGTGTGAGATCAAAATAATGTTCAATTGGTTCCTAGAAAGATGCATGTGAGGTACTGTCACGGTAAGTCCAGAGTGCACGCCGATTCAGTTTCAGAATCAGATTCAGATTTTCTACGTGTGGTTAACCTGAGTCGGATATTTTGTTGGTGGCCACAGTGGAAGCAGGAAATACGCTGACGGTACTGATTCGGTTAGCAAAGAAGCAAGTCAGCCGTAGTTATGAGGTTGTCAGATGAGGAATTAACCTGTATAATTATAGCATCTGAAACTGTTATGAATTTACAGGCAGTGATAAATGGAGCTCATGATATTATATATCTCTTTTCCATAGCTATGATTCCATAGATATGATTTGAGTATGGTTTATTCTATATTGTTGAATGGAGCCCGAAACACAATATTAAAATTTAACATCGTATTGTAAGAAACTGGTGTGCCCTACATAGAAGGCAGTTGCCCAGTTGCACCGATGGTCAGGGGTGGCCCTAATCTTGAATGCCCAGTTGCACCGATGGTCATTTTAGGGTGATGCCCAGTTGCACCAACGGTCAAAGATCCCTGACGCCCTACTCTCCCATTAAAATTTAGGTTAGGTTAGGCCTCTTTTATGCACGACGTTTTCCGTCGGGCGGAATCTATTGGGCGTTGCGTTGTTGAATGTTTTAACGTGTGTTCAAATGGGATCCTTTTATGCACGAGTTCCGTCGGAAGCCGGCGGAGGACCTAGACTCCGCTGAGTTTTAGCGTTTCGTCGGAGCATTTTTTTACATAGGTTCAAATAGAACCCTTTTATGCAACTGCGTTTTCCGTCAGGTGGAATGTAGCGCTGCCAACCTACCCCGCGCTCTCTCTGTCATCCACAGAATCAAAATCGCCTAATCATTGTAAAAAGATGATCATTATTCATTGTAATGGAATTAAAAATAAAAATAAAAAGGTATAATTGGGAAAATTTACTGGGCGAGAATGAGTTGAATCCGCGGAATAATGCAACCTTACAGTTTCGTAGGAGTAATATGACCTTTGTGTTACCGGGACTAACATGGGAATTTTTGTATCAAAGGTATACTCTGGATTGATATGTGAATTATTGTACAAAAGGCAATCACACCATCTCATTGGCAACCCTGCAGTACTGCCAACTCTGTCATTGCTGCCAACCCTACAACTTTCATTCACCGGGTGTACACTGTACAGCCCACCTCCTTCGCCGTAGTCTATTTTTCTTTACGCACAAATAAGTATAAGACAATAAACATGGATCCATGGGTCACTGACGATGGAAAAATGAACAAAGTTGGCAGCAATGACCACCTCCACCGTGGGTATCATAAGAAACTAGCAGATTCCGCTCGGCGGAGAAACTGCTTAAAAGGGACATCAATTCCGCCTGACGATTTCGCCCGACCGAAAACGTCGTGCATAAAAGAGGCCTTAGGTGCTAGTTCCCTATATATTGTAAATTATATTTAGCACAGACTATATACGATGGAACGTATAAGAGAGAATAGGTATATAAAAGCGTTCGAGGTTCGAGGAGGGGAAGGAGCATTCAAGCGTGACAGATTGATGACCGCCACGCGCCGGTGCAACTGGGCACTCTTGGGAGGGAGGACTTTGTTGACCCTTGCAAATTCCTTTGACCATCGGTGCAACTAGGCATCAGCCACATTGAAAGAGTTTTTCCTGAAGGGCGTTTAGTAGTATTAGTAATAACCCTAAGGTAAAAATGAAAAATTGTTAATATTTTACTACATAAGACAACTTTATTCAAATAAATAATATGGGTACGAGCACTGTCTGAATCTGAAACCAGAATGAATAATTCATTCGAGTAAGCAGGTGCCTGCTCATGGGCTTGGCTACCAGCAACCAAAGATATAAACAACTCATGGATCGCTGGCTCAGTGTTGGCCGCGCGGTCGAGCTTCCCCCACCATCTACTGGCAGAAGCCGACGCAGCCCATACATTCACCATTATAAAACACACTTTTTATTTGCTGCTCTGTTGAAATTTATAGGGATAAAATATTGCTAACGCTTGTCAAACTCTTTTTACTAGTTAAACCTGTTATGTCTGTTTTGTTTCTTGCAGAAAATAGCCCATCTGAATTCTTTAAAACTACAAATTCACTAAACCCGTTTTGTAGATGTTTTTAGACAACTGATATTGCTAGTTCCAAATTGTACATGGTAAAATAATAAGTGATTACAAAAGAGAAATAGAAAGTACAATATTTGTAATTGAAATTATATTTTATTAATCGAAAAAATAGTACATAAACATTTAGAATAATTTTGCTAAGTTTTTGCCGCAGTGGTAACGTTATGTTTGACGTAAACGCGATATTTTTTTCTTTCAATGTTTAATGACAATGTATCTTACAAAATAGGTCATAAAAAGTATGCTTATCACGTTAATGTCAAGCATAGATTTGCGGTAAAAAGTGGACAAATGTAGTAGGGTTTTTAAGAGTTCAAATGTGTCATTTTCTGCAAGAAAAGAAGAAGACATAAAGTTTAGAATAGTAAAAAGTGTTTGGCATGCATTAGCAATATTTTATATCTATATATTTAAACAGAGCAGCAACTTAAAAAGGTGCGTTTTACAATGGTGAGTGTATGGGCTGCGTCGGCTACTGCCAGTAGATGGTGGGGGGAGCTAGACCGAAAACAGCGCCCGCAGTGCTACTGAGAGCGCAATCCAGTAGTTTTTACACCGTTGCCAGCAACCACTATGGCCGCTCAGTGGCATTACAGATTTTTACAAGCTCCCCTGCAAACTTATTTTTTGGGCCCCCCTATCATGAGTTATTGTTAGACGACCCAGGGCCGGTTCTAGGAATTTTTCAGAGTTAAGCGAACACCTGAATCAGCGCCACCTAGAATTCCCCCCCCCCCCCCTTGAGCATAACTTAACTCTAATTGTGAATTTTTTTGGGTAGAATTTTTTATAAGTTTAGGTTGGAAGAATACTTGCAATTAAAGACGTTTTTCAACTACCTACGGTTTATTATTCACAAAATTTAACATTTTTACACTTTTACTAAATTGCAGAATAAATAAACAGAATAAATTGGAGATGTGATGGTTGAAAAATTCTTGTGGATAAGTGGGATATAGGCCTACACTATAGCAAAACCCAAAGTTAACAATTTATTTCTAAATGTAAAATCAATTTTTACAGGATAATTTGGATACGATATAAGCTTTTATAAAGCCTATTACAATGAAAAACAGAAGCGGTATACATAAGAGTGCAAAACAACGTACTGCTCTGCTCTAGGAGGGGTGAGTGATCAGGGGTAGAAGGGAGGGGGAAGTTTCTTGGGTTGTGACAAGTGGCCCTGCGCGCTTATCTCGAGCATGGAGCATGAGTCATGAAATGAAACCCACAGGTGCTGTATGCTGTACGCTGCCGAGCGTCAGCTCACTAAAAATCAAAACTGCAAATCAATGCCTTGAGTCCTTGAGTTGAAGTGCTGTACAAGTATACACATTTTCCAAGTGCTGTTGCTACAAACAGAATAAATGCCTTTGGTGTGGTGCTTTGGATAAACTCTGAGCGAAAAAAAAAAATAAGTTGTTCACTTGTCAGTAAAGATGTTTCCAATTTTGTATTCTGAAAAAAAAAAATTGTGTCCTGTTGGCGCCACTTTTTTGTGGCGCCATATGCGACCGCGTAGTTCGCGTATGGGTTAAACCGGCCCTGAGACGACCGATACAACATAATCAAACGCCCTTCCCCTCCCCCCAGAGTTATTTTTGGACCACCTTAACAATGATTAAACAGATTAATCATAGAGTAGTAAATAAATTATAGGTTATGTTCCATAAAAGGGCGGGTTAAGTATTTCACTTCAGTCATGGTTTGATGAAAGAGTTACATCACTAAATCATTATATCAATAACAGTGTTTGTAAATAGTTTTTAAATAAAATAAAAATACCTTATTTTTTCATCAGTATCAGAATGTTTATATCAAGGAGGTTTTACATTTAATTTATCACACATGTTATCCATTTTAATATCCTGATAATTATACTAATTCATTAATAACAAGGAAACAATGTGGTTCGGATTCCACTATAAACTGCAGGCCCCTTAGTTGCCATTGCCTATATTGGCTATTAATTAACAGCTGTGTCTAAGGAATATGTCGGCCTTAGTCACTATCAAGTAGGGATGGTCAAGTCTCGAAATTTCGGGAAATTTTCGGGAAATTTTCAATCTCGTTACACGAGACGAGATTACTTTTTGGCCGAGATTTTTATCGAGACGAGAATAAAAAAAAAAAAATTAAAAACGCCTGCAGAAAGTCAATGCAATACCCGCAATACAGGAGCGTGTTGTAGTTGCGTTTCCTTTTCGAAGGCGTTCTTATTTAATTAATTCTTTTAATGTAAATATTACTTTAATTCTTTTAATGTAAATATTACTTTCATTATTTTAATAATATTACTTTAATAACATTTGAGAAGTTTTGTTAAGTGTTTTAAGCAGTGTGAGGAATGTTTTATTACTATAAAAAAAGTCAAAACAAGTAACTATTTTATAAAAATTAATATTGCTTTTATTTTATGATTTATTTTATTTTAGGATAAGTTGAACTCTATCCTAACTGATATCACCATGTTTCCTAATCGTAGGCATTTTTAATAAGTTAGGCGTGATTAATAAAAAAATGTTATGCTGATGTTATTAAATGAAAGATTGTAAATATTCTTGCCTATTATAATTATTTTAGTATTTAAACAGTCATCTAACAATGTTACAAAATCAGGTAAAAATTTTGAACGTGCATTTCCCGTTGTGTATGAGAAGAGAAATCTCGTCTCGAAATTTTATGAGAAATAAAAAATCTCATCTCGTCTCGTCTCGAACTAAAAATCCAATCTCGTCCATCCCTACTATCAAGATTACAAGGTTGCGCCACTCATCCTACACTCATCTCCATTCATACTTGACTTAAAATACCTACATTTGTTTGTATGGTCGCCATTTCAAAATAAAGTATTAATATATTTATAAGGTTAGTTTAATCTTTGGTTATAATTAACTCATACACTAAAAGTTAGTTAATTTAAAAGATTGACGCACTTTAATCACAGGCTAAAATAGCCTATTGCATTTTTTTTATTTGATCTTTGTGTGGATTTCAAGCGTTTACCTTACAAACATATGTCTTTAGTATTGGTTAAATGTGAGGTAAAGTAAGATATAGGCTAACAAACACAGTCAGTAGAGTAGCAATATATTGTATTTAACGAAATACAATCAACATCCTTCTACTAAATACAGCTATAATGTTTATACAGGTAGGCCTACCTCAGTTATTGTGCATCTTAGTGCAGTTGCATGGACAGAGCAGGCGTCTTCATCTAGCTTGTATAACTTGTCGCTTGTTACTACTTTGGTAACATTGCTGTCACAGTCAAGCAGTTTTATTCTGAAAAGGTACAAATTATCAAGAATTTTATATGTTATGAGGATTTGCTTGAATACGTTTTGATTCATTGAATACATTGATAAAATAAATACAAACCAGAACAATTTTCATAGGGCTCGGGTAATAAAATTTTGGGTACAAGAGATAGTTTGGGTCAAACACTATAGCCTATAACTTATTTTGGGTCCGAGTAATATTAGAGTCTGAGTCTACTTTAAAATTAGCAACATTAAAGTTTAGCCGGTTTTATATTTTGGTGAATAAATAATGTAATTGATTTTTGATAAAATAAAAAGAACTGAAACAAAGTTACAACATATCATTACCTATTTTATAATCTGTATCTCATCAAAAGAGATAGAATTAGCTTGAAAGTTAATAATAATTATAGATTTTACCTTACAATGATAGTAACTGTAATATTATTCACATTACCTGACTCATTTGAACCATTATCTAAATCATTATGTTTAATTTTTGCAATTTTCTGTTGTTATTAAATTCAGTTTTCATCGCAACATTTAAAGTGTCACTTTTATTAGTTTAAAAGTGTTATTAGTTTAAAAGTAAAATATGCTTTAGTGGCGACGAGTGCAACATTTTAAATTATTTAATACACGTTTCTACAGGATAAAAATTTAATTTTAAATACTATCATGACCAGAACTCAGAACGTAATAACATCATTCAATTTCGACTCATTTGATGAAAATCTTGAAGATTTCAATTTGTAAAAACAACTTGAGAATTACTTTCATTTGACAAACATTAAGGGGAACAAAGATGAAGTATACAACGAATCAAAGCAAGAATATTGATCAATTTTATTGGACCAAAACATTATCAACTTCTAGGAAGTCTTGTATCTCCAGACTTACCGTACCAACAAACAAAAGCTACGACACATTGATTGAAAATTAATATCGCTGAAAAACATTAATGTCCAAAACCCAATGTTTTTGTACAACATCCTTTTCTATCACGTGTTCAAAGTCCGACCAAGTCCATATCTGAGTTTGTTATGTAGCTGCACTGAGGGGATTTGCATTTACAAGAAATTTTAACTGTCCTTCTTGTGAATCTTCAGTAGTTGATTATTTTTACGTGTACAATTCATTCGAGGATTACGATATGAAGTAATCGTTGAAAAGATTCTTCAGCAACCAGAATTGACTTTTGAAGGTGCGTATGAACAGGCTCTGACTCCTGAAGCATCAAAAATGGATTGCAAAACATTTCATGGAACTGATTTGATAAATTTCTAGAGTTTTTTGTGCAAAAAAAACAAGTTTATGATAACTCATCAGAAGTAAAATTAAGATTTTATGAGTGTCTTGGAATTGCCGGACGATGTGTGCGTTGTGGCGAGAGTAACCACTTGGCAAAAACGTGCGAACGGGACATCAACACCCTATTTTGTAGTCTATGCCATAAGCAGTCATAGCTCGAAAGTTTGTATTTTAAGTTTAGCAAAATCAAATCACCACAAGGTAAATGCCGTTAATTCAAGAAGACTTAGAACAATAGGATCCTGGAGAGCTCTAAGATGAAAAGGATTTTAACTTTAATTTTGGAAACTTCACAAACGGAGAAACTCACGACAATACTGAACATTGAAACTGGTAAGCTTACGTTTGAAATCGACACTGGAAGTCCAGTAACTATAATCACTTACAAAACCTTAAAAAAGTTTGCCCCGATAGAAGCTTCTTTAAAAGTAATTTTAAAAAAACCTTGTTTGTAGCTCCTCTCCCGCACTCCCCCCTCTCTCCCGCTCCTCCCCCTCTCCTGCGCACCACCCACCTTTCCTACGCCCCCCCCTCGACGTTTCGCGCTCAACACTACGTTGTCTTTATTTATTGTTTACATATTGTTCTTTATTTATTGCCTAACGTTTTCATGATCATATCTTCAAAGACGGGTGGCGGATATATCCGCTGCTTTTCTACTCATCCGTGGACGGATAGCGGATATATCCGCATAGTTAAAAACGAGTAAAAAATTATTTTGACAGTATGAAGTGTTCCATTGTGTTTATTATTTTATGGATACTTGTGTAACAAAACACAAATAAGGAAAATTAATTTTTATTTTTTCCTATAATTTTTCCCTGTTCTATGTCACAATTTTGCCCGTCCAGGAAGTAGTCCAGTAAAATAAGACATTTTGGTATGCAAAAGGTCGGGTAGTTCTGATTTTTGGATATGTTGTTAGTATTGGGCCCATAACATAAAATCCAAGTTATAAACCTCGAGATACTGCCGCTCGCCGCGGGGCGCGCCACTTGTTATCGAAATATCAAAAATATGGCAATTCCTATTGTTTTTCACTCAATTTCGCGAACCGTTGATTTTACCGAAAATTTTATACTATTACATTAAAGAAGAATAAATTTGTGACAGTTTAAGCCCAACAGCAAGTATGTAGCGTAAATAATGGTCAAAATACAGACCATCAAAATAAATAAAATTTTCCAGAGACGTATAAAATTTTGGTTTTTTTTCAATATTTCCACAATATAGTTGTTTGAAGCAAACACCGTATTGATTTAGAGAGTTTGCCAGTTTATTTGCTATTAATTGAAAATAAATGAAAGTATGAATAAAAATACCCCCACCTCAGCAAACCTGCAGACTAAGCGAATTTCCATTTGCTTGATTTGATTTTCACAAACCTATTTAAATAACATTAGGTTTAACCGGTACCTAGGTTTGCTGCTACAGGGAGGGTAATATAGTATATAAAATAATAATAGTATGATAAGAAACAAATTTACCCAATTTTATAAAAATGTGTCTATAAATGAGGAAAAAACAATAATTAAAACTCTTCGCTATTGGAATAACTTGAGGTTTTTTAATTTACATTTTTTAATTTTCTCCGTAACCCATAACTGTACTGTAAAACACATTTTAATGTACTAAATTATTTATTTTTAAGCTCTACAAAATGGTTTAGAGATACATTGTAAAATTGTATGTTTTGAGGGTCAAAAATACGAAAAAACCGTTCGTTCTTAACAAAAAACCCAATAAAGCGACCGTTCCCATGGCCTGATCACGCTTCGCGAACTCGTTTTAATAAATGTAGGTTTACATGCTGAAAAACAGACCTTCAAAATATACCTTCAACAGCAAAACTACTCTTCCCAAAGCTGTCAAATGTTTATACATAAACATTTAAGCTAAGCTTTGGGTACAATACTTTCACATGAAACAAAATTAAACAGTTTAACATAGTTAACAGTTTATTGAGGCTGAAAGATCAGGCAAATAAGATTTTCCAATTACAATCACTCTACAGATCTTCCATGCAGCGGGTAATTTTTCAACGCCAAGCAGTGCACCCATCTATACAGGACTTGCTGAATATGAATTGAAATACAGGATTGATATTGAAGAACACAAAAAATTCACAAAGATCGGAAATTTCACTACAAGACGTACAGACAAGTTCTGGTGTGGAATTTGGTCTGATTAGGTCATCGAACAGGCCCACATAAAGACAATGAAAAGCTCTGGTGGATTGACTCGAGGACGAGGGGTAACAGACAAAATGTTGTAACTTGATGGGCGCTTGGGATGATCCGTCCTCATCAAATCTGTAGGAAGTTGAGAAATGTTATAAAAAATTACGACAGTTGAACATTAACAGTGAGCAACATGTTGACGTGCACCATTCTCGCATTGCTCGAGACAACGAAATTGACGAAAAGATTCAATAGTGGTTTTCTCAACACACACCATTCAATATAAATGATGTGCTGATTATTAGCAAATTTCCCTTATAGGGAATAGGCTATTACAGTAGGTCTCATGATAAGACCTAAGATAGGTCTATCATTATAGGTAACCTAAATTTAAACTAAGTTTTAAAACAAGGAATAACGCTTTTAACATTATTCAAAAAAGAACAAATCCGAGACCCAACCCCCCAAATGTATATAAGAAATCGGGAATTTACAAATTATCATGTAACAACTGTGAAAAGTACTATATTGGTCAAACAGGTCGAACATTCGAAGTCAGGTACAAAGAGCATATACAGGCAATAAGATCAAACAATATGACAACACAAAAATCCTCATACGCCAAACACATACTTCAGACCGACCATACATACTCAGAAATGAATAAAAATATGCACTGTTTGGATGTTGAAAATAAAGGTAAAAAATTGAATGCAAAAGAAGACTTTTATATTTATACTCATCATATTAATAACAAAGACAATTTACTAAACTTGACACAAATTCAAAATCAAAACGTAATATTCAATGAAATTATAAATCTTAAAGAAAACACCTCCTTCCCTTAACTTCAAAATTATCACCTGTTCTTTAACAAGAAATATCTAATAATGTTTGTAAATAAAAGAAACTAATAGGTTATGTACTATACTGTGATCATGGCATTAATGTCCGAAACATGTAAGTAATATAAAATAAAATGTTTTTAGGGTACTGTGGTATTTTGATTTACTTAGTAATATATATATATTTATATACCGGGTGTCCGAAAAAGACTCCATAGTTATAAACATACCTCACGATACTATTGTTCAAATGGATGAGTAATAATCATTTCGTGCTCTGTAGAGTATACTTCAAAGTTTTAGTTTCGTACGTTGGCAATAAGTTGCGTACACCTATTTCATTGAACATAGTTTTGGTAATAAATTATAATATATTAATGAATATATTAATAAAACTAAAAAAAATATAAATATAATAAAAAAATAATAAAATATTAATGATGAAAATGAGTAAAAATAGCTTGCATGTCTGCAGGGCTACAAATGGTTCGCATATTGAGGTGTGATAGTGTTAAAATAACTTTTATTTTATTACTATTCATTTAATGCAGGGCTGTGCGAATAGTTCGAAAAACGAATCGAATCCGAATCTTTTTAGAGATTCGATTCGGATTCGAGAACGAATCTACTGTTTCTAACTGGATTCGGATTCGGAATCGATATTCGAATTTACTGGTAAGAGATCCGGGTTCGGATTCGATATTCGAATTTCTTGGAAATAGATCCGAGTTGGGATTTGATATTCAAATTTACTAGATTCTGATTGAATATAATTTTCAATATAATTTTTTAGACACTAAAAAACTACTTGTGCACTCCGATTTGCTGTTGACTGGTTCATGTTAGGGACCTGACCAACTTGGTGTTAGGTTTTAGGCACATTAGTGTAGGTCGCATTTGAACCCTATCTTGGCTATCAGTAAACTTAACCTCACAGTGTTAGTTGTTACTTGTAATAGTAATGCAGACATAGGCTTGTGTGGAGGATTAACACCGAGGTGTATAATAGGCTGGGCCTATGTTTTAGACTACACAAATTGGTAGTCCATCACTTTTAGCGAGTAACTTAGGCCTAGGTGGTATGCCTAACTTATGCCCAATTTTTTAGTTTCAAAACTTCAAATAGGTAGGCCTAAATTTTATAACTTTTTTATTTGGCCCATTTCAAGAATTTTTTTAAGCAATTCCCTAAGTTATTTCAGCCCCAGAAAATGTGGTCTAAAAATGTGAAAATTGGTACTGCTGACTTTCCTCGGATTTGGATTCGACTCTGAACAGGTTTAAACATTCGGATTCGATAACAGCTTTAAATTTCAGATTCGGATTCGTTCCAGGTTCGATAATGGCTGTAAATTTGAGATTCGGATTCGACCCAGATTCGACTCGGGATTAATTAAAATATTCGGATTCGATAAAATCTGTACAGCTATGATTCGGATTCGGATTCGAACCAAAATTTCTGGATTCGCACAGCCCTGATTTAATGTATCAGCATAGCCTTCTCTACGGTATTTGATTTCTAGTAAACACAAATTAAAATTCTATGAAAAAAAACCATCCTATATAGGATTAAAATTTTTTAAGCATCTTCCTAATGAAATCAGAAACGAACAAAGCAGGAAGAATTTCATGAGAAAACTAAAACTTTATTTAGTAGAGAAAGCGTTATATTCCCTGGAAGAGTATTTTTCCACCTCCCTTCTTAGCATTAGTAATTAATTCAGTTTTGATTATTTTCATTTCCTGGTTCTTGGTTTTTAATGTACATAATGATCCAAGATATGCAAATTTGTAAATTATTAATTTAAGATAGATTTAAGTTTGTTGACGCCATTCAATGTACAAAACTGTACTTTATGAATAAAGCATATTTGATTTGATTTGATTTGATTTGATTTGATATCAGTCGTTGAACAGTAGTTAGTATCTAGTGCAATAAATAAATAAATTTTCAAACTAGGTGAGTTTTTGGAGACCCTGTATCCAAAAAAAACTAAAGATTTTACTAAACTGTATCCAAAAAAGTTATTATCGTTCGTTAGCACGATGATTCCCAAAAATCATCCGATTTAGTGGAATTTGGTAAAAACATTACTTTTATTTGTGAATCAAGAGATGGACTATTTATCATTTACTTTGTATTGTAAGTGACTTAGCCTATTGCTTTTGCTTAGTGGCCTAAATAATCATTGAATCATGTAAACGTACATTTATTTATTAAAACGAGTTCGCGAAGCATGATCGGCATGATAAGGCCATAGGAACGGTTGCTTTATAAGTATTTTGCCGTGAGAATTTTTTTTTAATTTTTAACCCTCAAAACATACAATTTTACAGTTGTATCATTAAAGAATTTTGTAGAGCTTAAAAACAAATAATTTAGTACATTAAAAAGTTTTTTACAGTACAGTTATTGGTTACGGAGAAAATTAAAAAATGTAAATTAAAAACCTCAAGTTATTCCAATAGCGAAGATTTATAATTATTGTTTTTTCCTTATTTATAGACACATTTTTATAAAATTGGGTAAATTTGTTTCTTATCATACTATTATTATTTTATATACTATATTACCCTCCCTGTAGCAGCAAACCTAGGTACCAGTTAAACCTAATATTATTTAAATAGGTTTGTGAAAATCAAATCAAGCAAATGGAAATTCGCTTAGTCTGCAGGTTTGCTGAGGTGGGGGTATTTTTATTCATACTTTCATTTATTTTCTATTAATAGCAAATAAACTGGCATACTCTCTAAATCAATACGGTGTTTGCTTCAAACAACTATATTGTGGAAATATTGAAAAAAACCACAATTTTATACGTCTCTGGAAAATTTATTTATTTTGATGGTCTGTATTTTGACCATTATTTACGCTACATACTTGCTGTTGGGCTTAAACTGTCACAAATTTATTCTTCTTTAACGTAATAGTATAACATTTTCGGTAAAATCAACGGTTTGCGAAATTGAGTGAAAAACAATAGGAATTGCCATATTTTTGATATTTCGATAACAAGTGGCGCGCCCCGCGGCGAGCGGCAGTATCTCGAGGTGGATAACTTGGATTTTATGTTATGGGCCCAATACTAACAACATATCCAAAAATCAGAACTACCCGACCTTTTGCACAGCAACCCCATATTTTCTGACAGATTTACTGGACTAAAGGGTTAAACCTGTGTAATGTATACTAAATTATTAAAAAGAAAATATTTTTAAACCATGTGATATATGACAGCATGAGTGTCAGCACACTTAGAGTTATCTTAGTGACTTAGTGCATACACGGCATATAAGGTTTTTACTGACCACGAAATCCGTGTCCGTAGAATAGCTCACAGCTAGTTTCTACATATCTTTTTATTTAACCTTTATTTCTATTATATCATCAGAAAGAATTACCTGTTTTCATTTTTAACCTGTAATATTATCCCACGAATTGCTTTGTTTCTATCAATGAAACACACAGATTGTTCTGTTTGTGGATTATCAACTGGGTCCAACAAGCCACTCTGGAACTTTTTCCTGAAAGTAGAAGGAATTTAAAAAAGAAAACACAATAACTTTAACAGTAGTAATAAAACTCACCTCAACCAACCTAGACAACTACTCTTGATGTACTCTTGTGTATATAAAGTCCCGCACGGGCTTAATATTTTCTAAACTACAACAGATAAATCAATAAGATTTGGTACATCAACACCACACCTAAAAATCTACTTTTTCAAGGAACTATGAATTTTCTGTCATATCATGGGGATGTCCCGCAAGGAGTCAGAAGGAAATCTTAAATAGGAGCATAGGTCAATATGAAATGAAAGGTCTTTTTTAGTAGAATACAATGCCGCAAACCGCACTTCAAAAGGTTGATCCTGCGCAAAATGGCGGCCGTTCAAGATTTCTTTAATCCGCCATTTTGAATCTTTGAACCACTGCCACTTTTTAATCAGGCGTTCTTTTGAGCTTGAATTTACGGCATTGTAATCTACTAGTGAAGACCTTTAATTTGATGTGCATATCGACCTATGCTTACGTTAACAATTTTCTTCCGATTCCTAGGGCTGTGCCCCCTGAGGAGTAAGCGTATAATAGCAATGCAAATTAAATTAATCTTTGAACAACTGTCATTATTGGCTTGGTTGTCCGTTTGAGTTCAAATTTGCGGCATTATATTTTGCTAGTAAAGACCTTTAATTTGATGTACCAGGGTGTCTACTACATTCTGGATAAAAAATTCAAGGACAATTCCCGTACATTTAAGGACACTTTGCCGTAACCTTTGTCTGTGTCATTAGGCCTACCGAATAATTTTCCTGACTTGTCAAACTGTATTAATCTTGTTATTCACTGTAGTGGTACCAGAGAGAAAAGTAAATAATAATAGATAAGAGTTAAAAATTTCAAAATAGAAATTTATTGAAAGTAAACAAACATAGGCCTACCTATACTTTAGGTAAAGCTTGTATAGTGTAACAGAGAAACGCAATCATTGTCTCCTGCGATAGCGACAAATTAATATCTCCATCGGTCACGTAAACATCATAACATAGCTTATCCGATCCAGGCGGATTAATTTGGCATGATTCGCCCTGGCACAACGTTAGGTTCTCGACTACTTTTGAAAAAAAAAAAATCTTTAATGCATATTGTTACTCAGTTCTTAGTACAAAATTAAGGTATGGTAAGCGGCTACCAATAAGCAATAAGCACAGAGTAAGATTATTGTATTTTCATTTGCAAAGTTAATATCGACACATAGCAATCATTAGTTGTTTATCTTAGGCTCAATTACATTTTCTTAATATATTTTACAGCTCTTTCAAGAATCAAAATACCCAGGCCTAGACCTAATTATTTAGGAGGACCTATATAAACTGAGTAACAAACAATGAGGTTATAATAGCAGCAAAGTCACTATCATCATTCTAGTTCATAAGATTTAGATTGCTTAAAGCATACAACTCAATAAATTCCTGTTCTGTTCTCAATAAAAACTGGATTCCTGTGAGAATGTTTCCCATGTGAACATTATATTTATTCCCACGTACATGTTTAGTTCCACTTTAACTATAACCAAATTTAAGACTTACAGCTAAGGTATACATCAATGAATTATATCACATTTCATTTGTAAATTTCTAATAGTTCCAAAGTTCAGTGAGCTAGTTAAAAAAAAAAATAATGATCCTCATTAAAGTACAGTCCAACCTCAGTATAACGAATCTGAAGGGACCGAACTGAATATTCGTTATATCAAGGATTTTGTTAAAACGAGGTTCGTTATATAGAGGTTAGGTTTGCAGGAATTTCGCTAAGTCGAGGTTCAGAACCAGAGTCGGTCAATATAGGTTGGGATTTGACCTCATTAAAATACAATTAAAGTAGCATAGGCTACGCTACAATACTTTACAGTACAGTGTTTACATTGTACAGTAGAACCTAAATTATCCGGCAAAATAAAGGGGAGGGATCTTGAATATATTGCGCAATAATGACAATGGCATTGACCTTGGTACAAGTTAAAAACTGTAAGTTTAAAATCACAGCTTGTTCTAACCCTCCTAAAACCTAGCCAAACACCGTATTGCGTAGTCATAAACCATGTAAAGAACAAAACAAAACAGTAGAAAGTTTTGTAAGCTACTTCTCGTGATAGGCCGGTAGGCTACTTACAGTACAGTACTGATTTATCACAACAGAGGAATGTCAATAATAATCATTAACTATAGCATTGGTGTTGCTAGTTGAAACAAATCGTATTGAAAACAATAAATTATTAGATAAGTCATTATAAAAGAGTATAATCATAGCCAACTCAAGGATAATAAAAACAATCGTAAAAGGAATGTTAAGATAACGATGTTGCTATTCTTTCTCTTTGGTTTTGTTTTTATATTCTTTCTTAGGTTTCTCTTTATCCAAAAATTATACAATTCACCATAGCTATCCCATATCGCCCAATCGCTTACTAAACATTACGTCGTCATCAGTCCTCAGTGAATGAAATCAGTTCTCAGTTGCAACATAGCGCGCGCAGCGACAGCAGACAAAGATGTAAAACGGAGCAGACGAATGTTAGCGCAAGCGATGACGTGACCTTTCCATTTCATTTGATAAAGAAACAGATTTTCCCAAAACAATAATTGGGTGGGGGATTTGTTATATCGAGGGAAAGACGTAGACAATTCGTTATGCAGAGGTTAAATTCGCAATGTAGAGGTTCTGACAAATGATAAATTCGTTATATTGAGGTGTCTTATTTTAGCCGAAATCACGAAAAATTCGTTAAATCAAGGTCGTTGTTATGGTTTGTTCGTTATGTAGAGGTAAAATATACATTGTGTCTTATGGAGAGTTCTAGGGGATTAAAAAAAATTCGTTATATCAAGGAATTCGTTATATAGAGGTTCGTTATATCAAGGTTAGACTGTAATCATTTTTATTATGATCATTCCTTAAGGCCACAAAAACATAGTCTTTCTCGATAGCAGCAAAATTCTTAATATTATCTCCATTGTTCATGAAATCATTATCATTGGCAACAAAATCCTGAAATATCTCCCGTGGTCAAGTGGTCACATCCTGCGGTGACGTAAACGTCATCACAGTATTCCATAATTGTGGCAAAATCCTAGACATCTCCCGCGGTATGTAGACAATACCGTCCTCTCCCACAGTCACCGATTGTCATCCGCGACCGAGGCAAATCACAAAAATCCTCTGTGGCTGTGTAGACTTACAGAAACCTCATCGTCGCCGTCCGCAATCACGGCAAAATCATAAATATATCCCGCGGCAGTGTAGACGTCATCGCTATCAACTGAGTCAAGGAATTGCCATCGTCGTCATCCGCGATTGCGGCAAAACCATGAACGTCTTCCGCGGCCGTGTAGACGTCATCGTCTTTCGTGGTCACGGAAAAGTGATCGTTGTCTTCCGTGGTCGCGTCAAAATCACTAAAATGCGTGTTTTACGATTCCAATCTTCTACCGGGGCTAAAATAAAAATCCTTGAATCGCTCCAATAATCCTGGCTTTTCCCCGGTTTTTTCCAGGTCCCTTTTAGTTCAAGGTTTTTTTCCAGTTCTCCCGGTTTTCCTGGTTGGTATACACCCTGCTATAGGGGAAATTTGCTAAAAGATTCAATTTATTGTTGCATACCGGTATTTATTCGTTATATGCTGATCCATTTTATTTAGGCCTAAATTTCCTCTCCCACAGAGTTATGCCCAATTTATTACTAAAACTTTTTTGGAGATTTTTACTTTTAACGAATTTCCCATATAGTGAATAAGCTATTACTGTAGTACTGGGGGAGCGAGCTGGTCTAGTGGTTAGAGCGCGAGTGGTTAGAGCGCGGGACTCCGGTTCCTGGGGTCCTGGGTTCAAATCCCGCCAAATCACCAATTTTTTTTTTCCTAGGACAGTAGGCACGAGCTTGGGATTGTTTTTTACATTACTTCAGGCTAGACCTAGGGGTTACGGCATTATCACTTTGATAAAATCCATTGGTGACTTGGCGGGGATCGAACCCGGGACCTCAGGGACTGAAGTCTGTAATATTTCATTTCATTCATTCATTAATTAGTATTAAGTTTCTTAAAATGTTAACTTTTGTTCATACACCTTTGTTATTAATCACTTCTCAGAAAGGCTGGCCTAGTATTCATTATCCTAGTTTATACAATTTCATTAATCTGTTAAATTAATCATTAATAATATTCATTCCATAGCCTATATATACTGGGTGTTTTTTTTTTAACTTGCATCTTTATTTATGTAAAAACCGCAATAAATAGAAATATGCAGATTGCGGGAATCATCTATTGACGTAGGGGGCCCAATTTTTTTGAATTCAACGTTACATTCATTTGCTCTTTCATTTGATATGTCACAAGGGGTACCTTGCTATTAAAAAAAAGATTAAGTTTAGGGGAGGGGGGGGGGAATATCTCACAAATTTATGAACCGATTTTCAATTTTTTTTCATAAAACATTTTCTTTTTTCATGCTTTTTCATTTCACATGTCACAGGGGTACCTTGCTATTTAAACAAATTAAGTTGGGGGCAGAGGGGAAAGGGGGGGAATGTGAATGTAACGATGAATTTAAAAAATACCCCCGCCGCAGCAAACCTGCAGACTAAGCGAATTTCCATTTGACTGATTTGATTTACACTGAAATGTCTACTTAAAAATATAACATTTATTCCCGATTTAAATAGAATTAGTTTAACAAGTACTTAGGTTTGCTGCATCAAAGAGGGTAAAACTGTTTTTTTTTTGTAAAATGTTAATAGTTAGTAAGAAATAAAAACGTTTTCCAAATTTGATCAAAATATGTTCATAAACAAGCAAACTACAACAGTTTACTAATTCTCCATAAGAATAACATGGGAATTTTAAATTTACAATTTTTTTGAATTTTCTCCGTAACCATTAGGCGCATAATAACGCTTCAATATGCAAAATTATTTGTTTTTTTAAGCTCTACAAAATGGTTTGGAAAGATAATTGCTAAATTTTA